CTCTCTCTCTCTCTCTCTCTCTGTCTGTGTGAACGTCTCTCTCTCTCTCTCTCTCTCTCTACTGTTTAACCTGATGGCCAGCAGCGATCAGTGATACAGACGAACCGAACTGTAGCGGCTCCGTAGAGCAGTTAAGCCCACTGGATCTGCTCTCTTCTCCCGTGTGAACCTTCCTGGATCTACGGGGTATGGTGTCACCTCCTGAAGCCGGACAATCGGACGCTGAGGCCGGCGGCAGGCAGCGTTAGCTGACCGAGCTGCGGGCTTTGAATTTCGGCCTCATTGTCAGGATTTTATCGGGACTTTTTTGCCGGGTATTCGGAGTATTACTGGGGGAATAGCCTGGCCGTGGACACTTCGGGAAGGTTCGGTTCTTAATGCCCCGGAGGCTCCGAGAAGAGCAGACTGCGGAGCCCCGGAACAGGGCTCGGACACCGGGGGAGTGCGAAGGTAGGGCAGGCTGCGGGGAGGAACCGTGTACCCGCTCTTAGTATACCTGTGTGTGTACGTGACAGGTGCGGGGCCGGGGATTATCGATGACTGGATGAGTTTCGGGCTGATCGGTTTGCAGGTACACTACACCGAACACCAGGTGAGTGTTTTGTGTTGGAGGAAGAGGTTAGCATGTCGTTAGCTGTTAGCCTTGCAGCATTCCATTGTCACAGACAACATGCTAGCTGAGTAACAAGGATGGAAACAGTAAAAAAAAAAATCTGCCAAATTAAAAATATCGGAAGTCATCTGCGCCCTCATTCCGCATCCAATGTAATAACAGTACTCAGTGAAATGAGCCCTGCTGTTTACACGCAGGGGACTGCTGTTGGTGTGTTAGCATGCTAATGCTAGCCAGTGCTGCTACTAGCTTTAGCCGGAGGAGCCCCACTTCCCGGCTGCTGTAGCAGGAGCTGCCTGCTAGTTAGCGCGTTAGCATCAGCTCCCCCTCCTCCCCCTGGTTGCAACACCGCTAGGAATCTCAAAATGTCTTCTGACACTCATTTTGTTTCCATCTGTGCGGTCAGACGGAGGCAGCAGGCGGTGGCAGAGAAGTGTGACGGACACAGCACCGCCCGGCTCGGCACGACACAGCAACTTATATTAGACTTAACCCATTTATCAGGCGCATGCGTGGGCGGCGTGCACGCGGGCAGACTGAAACCGATTTACAGCGTTTACTGTGGAAAAAAACACACCACGGGCCGCTGTGACGGTGCACCAGTGACATGTTCACGAGCAGGGGACGCTGTTTAACCACAGCACTCTGATACTCCATCAGCCCAGCACGACACGGGCTCCAGTTCTCCTACACTGGTGGAGGAGAAGGTTTTAAACTTGCACCAACTGAGCTGCCTGCAGTTCTGCCAGCATCCAGCAGGGGCAGCAGGGAGTCAGTCCCCATAGACTCCTGTGTTTAAACTTGGAGCAGAAACAAACATGTTTACGGCCGGATACACAAACTGTTTGGTCTCATAACACCTGTACGGGGGAGCATGTTGTTACAACTCACCTGTTTAAGTTGTATTAAGCCTTAAAGGTTCTATTTTAGGGGCGTGGCCTCTTTGACTGACAGGTGGATGGTGACACCTGTAGTTGCTAGCTTCACCTGAACGGGACCTCTGGGCCTGTTTGTGCTGGTGGAGCATGTATAATGACGTCATGTGGCCAATACCATGGCTGCTGTGAGGTCACTGTACTAACAGGCTGAGCTCCAAGTTTACCGAGTGAAACTCTGGGATTTTGTCTAATTAGCAGGTGTGTGTGTGTGTGTGTGAGGGAGCTGCTGATCGATACACATTTAACACATCTTTAAAAATTATGCGTGTTTAGCTTTAATCGTGATTTATCTCTGAGGTATGGGGCAGGTAGTGTGGAGCTCAGGTGAGTCAGCTGCTGGGAGAAACAGGTGTGCACACACAGGGTTACCTGATTGGTTGATGGACAGGTGCGGAGTTCAGGTGTTGGTAGACTTTAAACTTTCCACTCATGTGTAAATCATTTCCTTTTTCCTGCTTTCTGTTTACCTGAAACAACCTGCTTGTTGCCTCGAGCTGAGTCGTTAATGTTTGTGCATGACACGCTTAGTGGGCGGAGCTGAACTGGTGGAATGCAGGACGCTGCCTGTCAGAAATCTTCACACCAAAGTCCACCTGCTAATCAGGGACACGCCCACTGAGGGTGACTGCAGGTGTGCTTTGAGTGCTCAGCTGTTCGTGTGCAGGGACAGAAACACTCTTGTTTTCACTGAGGTGCAGTTTGTGTTCGTATCATAGCAGCCAGAGTTCAGCAGGTGAGTGTGACGACTGCAGCAAGCTGATCCACAGGTGAAACGTTTTCTACCTGAAACTCCTCAAACGTCAGGGTCGGCCCGTGATGTGCCGCAGGTGTGTCTGTGGGTCAGAGGAACGAGGAGTCTTACCTTCTGACCAAACACCTGCCGTGTTCACGTCTGCTGCACCTGGGAGGATGTCTGCCTGGTTTCAGGTGACGCTGGTTGGTCGGGCACGCTGGCCGGCTCTCGGTGTCACTGCGAATCAGGAAAGTGAACTTTAAATAAGAAGAAGATTCCTGATCTTTCAGACTTTAAAAGGTTAAATCTGTAAATAAATGAGCAGCAGGACTGCGTCTGATTGGTGACGTGTTTTAGCTGAGTGGTAAATGGCCCGTATTTGTAAACCACTTAGTCCCTGTGGACCAATAAGCTCTTTACGCTACATCCACACAGTGGTGATGGCAGCTACATTGTAGCCACGGCTGCCCAGCTGACAGAGGCGAGGCTGCCGGACACTGGCGCCACCAGGCGCTCTGACCGACACCAGTAGGCAACGGGTCAAGCGTCTTGCCCAAGGACACAACGACAGACTGTCCGAGCCGGGGCTCAAACCGGCAACCTTCCGATTACAAGGCGAACTCTCAACTCTTCAGCCACGATCGCCCCAGGAAGGAACGCCGCGTCCTGATAAACGCTGTTTTGTGGAGTGCGTGGAGTCAGCGTACTCACAGCCATCAGATTATTAATGACCCGTTTGTGTTCCAGCCTCGTTCCTGTTTCGCTCTCAGAGTCACGGCAGCTTTTTAATGTCAGTTTGTGAGCAGAGAAGAAGAGTTTGTGATGTCAGCAGCTCGTCATGTGACAGAGCGGCTGTGAAACAGTGTTTGTTGAGTTTCCTCCTCTGACCTCGTCAAACCTCAGATTGTGACTCGGGTCACCCATCAGGCTGCTGCTGGTTCTGAAACGACTGAATCTGTGCTTCCTGCTGATCCTACTGATTTTTGAGACGAACTGAAACTCGTCACCAGATCGCGTGACACTCCTGCCGACGCTCCCACTGCAGCGTTAGAACGTTTTCGTTTCACGGTGTGAAACCTCCTCCGCCTTCACACTACAAACACGCCTGCAGTGGGCTCTCCTCGTGGGAGGAGACTTGGATCCTTTTGGTTGTCAGCTGCATCCTGTGACTTCCTGTTGGAACGAGGCCTGGTTCTCAGGGCAGAGCTGGTTCCACATCTGGATCGACTTCAGCTAAAAGCCTGACTTCATTAATCCAGAGCTGAAGGAAAACTCTGGGGTTCTGTTTCCTGGGCCAGTTACCGTGGTAACAGAGACTCTGTGACCCTAACCTGCTCATTGGCAGGCGTTTCCTCTGACTCCTCCCCCTCCTGCTGCACCTGAACCAGCTGATGGCTGGTGGAGAAGAGCCACGACCCCCTGTGGAGTTTTAGGGTCCTGCAGGTAAACTCAAGCCAGGTGTTTATACCTGCTGCACCTCTGTGTCTGGGAAACGACCCGGATCAGACGCTGGGATCAGGAAGTAGAGGACAGAGGCGTGGCTTCCTCTGAGCCCGGCGAGCTTGTGATCAGAAAAAGGAAGTGTAGTGGTCACTGGTTGTGATGTCGCTGCTACCGGTGTGGATGAGTGTGGCTCAGTCAGCACTCGCCATCAGGCCCCTCCCTCATGAATCAGGTGCTTTGGGAGGTACGAGGGCTGTGCAGCTCTGAGTGAAGGCAGAGAATCAGGTGGTCATGTGACTGTGTAGCTGAGTCACATGACCGTTTGCTGTTTGAAGTTTGCAAAGACTGCTACATTTGGCCAAAGGTAGTTCACTCTTTGCAACATAGTAGCTGCTCTAAACAGATTTCTCAGGTTTATTTTTAGTCTGTTTTTTTTGCAATTGGTGTTTGTTCTGGGAAAGATACTGCAGACTGAGCAATAATGCATTTCTTGCATTTCTCATGGGTTCTGATGGGGTCTTTCTTAAAATCACTGGTCCCAGTAACAAAGGCGCTTGTCGACTCACAACACACCCGGCAGAACATCATGTTATTTAGCTCGTCATATTCCAGCCACAGAAATTCTTTTGTCCATGAAACTGCTGCACTTTTTTTTTTTTCTTTTTGCCTTATAGTCTGATTTGTCATAACTTCTCCGTTTTGTGGTAAGCTTTTCTTTGGCTGTCACTTCTTCACCCTGACCTGTCTTATTTGGCTCAGCAGAACTAAAATATGTCCTGCTGCTTTTACACACACACTCACATAACGCTCAGCGATCAACCTCTCACATGTTTAAGCTGCGGGAGACTTCACTTGTCACGTTTGAACAGTAAGCTAATGAGTGATAAGACGACGTCAGAGGAATTGGTGCACAATTAATCGTCACTGACCAATCAGTGTCACATATTGACAGTGGCTCACCGATGCCAGTGACATAATTACTCAGCTACATTGGCGAAAGCATTGACATATATTTTCCTTCCTATGACAGCCCGACGGGCAGGGCTGACATAGATTTTGGTAGCCCGACTGGAAAAATTGCTAGCCCCGGGACGTCGGGCTAGCAATTTTGCGAGCCCTGATATGTATTGTCAGATTAATATGATATATTACAGCAGTGAGCTTGAACTCTGTGTCAAAGATTCAAGTTGCAGTTATTTATATTTCCTGTCACCTTAAATCTTCACTCAAACACAAGCATCTGTGACAGTGTGTATATAGATGTATTATATATATAGGAGACAAATATTGTTCTTTTAATATGTTGCCATTTCTAAATCTGGCTCAATGCTTACATATATGTGTAAAAAGCAAACGTACGAGCTGTGATAACTGTGTCTGATAGAATGAAGAGTCGACTGATATATGAAATATTCCTTTATTGGGTGAGAAAATCAGACCCTGTCATAACTGCTGTAAGTCACACAGAATAGATATCAGAGTCTTAAACAGGCTGACGTCTGCTAAATGGGTCAAACTGGGCAGAAAGTCTACAAACACATAACATCCTTATAGAATATGATGTAACACTATAGATCAACTTAGCTCAGAATATATAAAGCATATAAACAGTTACAGCAATATGATGCAACAAACACAGCAGCTACTGATCCAAAATACTCAAAGCTTCATAGAACTGGAACCAACATTTATTTTAGCTCCATTCTGCTGTTCTTCATTATTAAACATTCACACACAAATAAGTGACATAATATTCACTACTTACTTTTAAAAGTTTACTTTGCAGCCGCCCTGCTTCAGCCATCCACTGTTTTTTTTGGGGGGGTTTTTTTGGCAAAATTATCCACACCCACCGCCGCGCTATGAAGTCTGGGATATGTTGGGCCATAAAGGATACACCATCCTTAAAATTCAGGGAAACGAAGGACGCCTTTGAATCGTTGCGTCGCTGTGACGTAATCAGCCTTTAAGGCTGCAGACCCTGAATAGGGATACAACCAGTGCATGCAGGTTTCTTTAAACGGGAGGAGTTTTGAATGGACTTTGGTGGAGAAACTTCAGCGCAGCGTCATGGTCTGTGTGTAGAGAGACTGATGGGAAATGTAGTTTGCACCAAAGTCTGAATCAGCTGATTGGAGACGATGTCTGTCTGTCTTTCAGAACGCTGTCTGATTGACTCCGCCCACCATGAACCCTCTAAACCAGATGAAGGCTGGACTAGCCAACAACCCACACAGGTACACACACACACAGCTGTCATCTTTACACACATTTACTTTTACTCTACAATTTTTGTCCTGAAACAATCGAGTCAGATTTCAGTGGATTCACTTTAAATCGATAAATCATGAATTTGACTCCGATCCCAAAAATCTACAAAATAAACTGACAAAAGCTTCTTCAGCTCATAATTATACACATTTATTTATATATATCTATATATAGATCTATATCTATATATAGATATAGATATATATATTTGTGCTGCTGTGTAAGACTGCATAATTGTTTTACTCATGGACCCGCCCCCCCACAGTGACGGCTCGTACCCCTACGACCCCTCCAGCTGGCAGCAGCCCACCAATCAGCCCACAGGATCGCTCTCCGTGGTCACAACTGTCTGGGGAGTCACCAACCCCTCGGCCAGCCAGGTATGACATCACCAAGCAGAAGGATGTGACATTATCGATCATTTGTGGGGCGATCGTGGCTCAAGAGTTGGCCACATCTTGTAATCGGAAGGTTGCCGGTTCGAGCCCCGGCTCGGACAGTCTCGGTCGTTGTGTCCTTGGGCAAGACACTTCACCCGTTGCCTACTGGTGGTGGTCAGAGGGCCCGGTGGCGCCAGTGTCCGGCAGCCTCGCCTCTGTCAGTGCGCCCCAGGGTGGCTGTGGCTACAATGTAGCTGCCATCACCAGTGTGTGAATGTGTGGATGTAGTGTAAAGCGCTGTACAAATACAGGCATTTGCCTTTTTTTTTTTTTTTTACCATTTTTAATCACTCAACGTCACTTCCTGTCTGATGAACATGTACTTCTGTTCTCATCAGGGTCTTGGTGGAGGCGTGATGGGGCCCGGGGCCAACCCAGGCGGGGGTCCCATGATGCAGGGCCCCGGGGGGTCGGGCATGGCCGGCGGGCCCGGAGGCTACATGGGCCAGCAGGGCTATGGAGAGCCCAGCAAAGGCTACATGACCCAGGGCATGTACGGCCGTACGGGCGGGGCCTACACAGGAGGACCGGGCGGGTACACAGGGAGGTGGGTGTCTGCTTCAGCGTCACGTTGTAGCCAACAGTAGCATCAGAAACTGAAATAAACTGACCTGCTGCTCCGGTTTCTGTCCTGAGGGCGGATGCTTGGGTGCAGCTCACTAAGCTCCGCCCTCTCATCCAGATATCGAGGGGTCTTATCTGTCCCACGTCAGGTGGTGATGTCAGTGATGTCGTTTGTTTGCAGCTATCCGTCGAACCCCGGAGGCTCCCGAGGCTCCGCTGACTTCACTCAGGCTGCCGCTGCCGCCGCCGTTGCTGCTGCTGCCGCCACGGCAACCGCCACTGCTACAGCAACCGTCGCCGCCATCCAGGAGAAACAAAACCAGGAGATGAACTATGGACAGGTGAGCAGAAGCATGAGGTCACTGGGCGCCTGTGTGCTGCCCACCTGGGTTAGAGCTCCCTCTGCTGGTCCACTCGTGCAGGTGAATAAACAGAAAAACACTGTCACAGAAACGCTGTGGGAGGGACGAGGTCTCAAAGAGAGGTGGAGGTGTGTTTGGTGACGGGGTCGAGTTTAAACCTGAGGTCGGTGCTGGCGGCACCGGAGCACGACGCCTCTGCTCCAGCACAGTCCAGATTTGTCCTCTGTCAGCAGACAACTAGTATTTCCTAACTTTTAGCCGAACTTGTGCTGAGGACACCTGTTTGATGACATCACTGATAAATTTGTCGTGGTTTTTTCCCAGATGGGTGGTCCAGCCTACAATAACCAGTTCATGGCCCACTCCGGCCCCCGCGGCCCTCCTGGCATGGCTCCTGGAGGTATGGGCCCAGGTCCAGGCCCCGCCAGAGGTCCCCCTTCAATGGGCCCCATGTACGGACCAGGAGGGGGCCCGCAGAGGGTCCCCCAGCACCCAAACTACGGCCCTGGACCACAGCAGGGACACCTGAGGCCCCCGCAGGGCCTCAAACGACCATACAGCTCAGAGGTGAGGCTCGGGAGTCCGTGCTGCTGACCCTCAGGTTACTGTGTCAGTGAGTGAATTCACACCTGTGTCCACACCTTTCCCGCCCTCAGTCCTTCCCGGGAATGTCCCAGCAGTACGGCGTTCCCGTCGGTTCCAGTGTGAACGTCATGCCGGGTCCCGGAGGTGGCGGTGGATCCATGCCTGGTTCAGCTGGAGGCGGTCACGGTGGCCCCTACTCGGGCCCCAACATGCAGTACCACCCAGGTAGGACGCTGTTGGTTTCACAGGTCAGTCTAACGAGAACCCACCCCTGCCAGTCCTGACAGGACAGGAAGTGACCTCAGCCTGGTCAGGTTTATAAGGCTGGTCTGACGACAGGTGTGAATCGTGTGCAGGTGCTGGGTCCTCGTACCTGCCCACGCCACAGTAAAGCTCACAGGGAACGCTGGAGCAGAACGGGCCTGGGAAGTGTTTGTTTTCTTTGGTGTTGTTTTACATGGTTCCTGAAGTTTAACGTCACATGACGCCATCAAACAGGATTAACTGCACCCTGTCTGCAGGTGTTTCCAGGTGGTGTGAGGTGGAGGTTTCACCACAGCTGATGATGGGAAAGCAGACCTCGTGTTCTGATTATTCAGGTGTGCTTTCTCCTCGTCTTCCTGCAGGTCCCGCTGGTCCAGGTCCCGCCCCGCCACGGTCTGGCTCCTCCCCCTCATATCAGAGCCATAAAATGCCCCTCCCACCTCAGTACCCCCCCTCTGGACCCCCCAGTTCGCAGTACTACAAGGTGAGCAGCTATAACGGTGTTGTTGGAGTGATGGAGTCCTGAGTGCCGTCACCTGTTGATTAACAGCTGATGTTTGTGCAGCAGGACCAGTTTAACGGGCAGGGCGGCTTAAACACTCTGACAGCAGGGGGCGCCGGAGGAGTGTACAACTCCTTCAACCAGCCATCAGGGGTAAGGAGCGCGCACACACGTGTGTCTGTGTTCGTTGCGAGTGTTTGCCTGATTTGGCTCCTCCCTCTTTAACACAGCTTTCTTCTTATTAGCTGCGCCTCCTTAATAATGAGTGGGTGGGGCTTTTATCCCCGCCTCTGTGACGTCATATAGACCCCTGTGTTAACCTGAGTGTTGGTGCACACACATAATCAGAAACACACAGAGCAGGAGACATGTGACAGGAAGTGAGGGCGCACATGCTGAAATAAGGTTTTTGTGTTTTCTGTCGTCTCTCCGACGCCGTCTGTTAGCCGGGGCGAGGGTTGCCAGGTTACCCCTCTTCTCCGGTTCCGGGAAACCCAACACCTCCCGTCACCCCCAGCAGCTCCATGGCTCCGCCCTACATGTCGCCTGGCAGCGGTGACGTCAAGCCGACACCTTCTCCCTTCCTGCCTGACATCAAACCCAACATAGCTGGCCTGGCCCCTCCCCCGCCGACAGGTACACACACACACACGATCATCGATTAGAACCAGCTGCTTGAGTCAAACTGAGGTCATGAATGAAATGAAGCTCTTTATCCGAGGGAAATATTCTGATTAGTCCACCATAATAAACAGATTAACATCATTTGGTTTCATAATCAAAGTTTATTTCAATAATCTTCAATAACAATAATCAATCAATAATGTTTCATGATCAGTCAGGTCTTGAGATTATCAGGAAAATTTTGTTTGTGAAATAACCTGATTATTTTTGTCCCACTGATTCGAAGTCAATGTGCAGGTGTGTGACCGATGACTTCCTGTTTACAGGTAACCCTAGCGACGACCTGCGGCTGACCTTCCCAGTGAGAGATGGCGTGGTCCTGGAGCCCTTCAGATTAGAGCACAACCTGGCCGTCAGCAACCACGTCTTCCAGCTGAGAGAGTCCGTCTACAAAACACTCATCATGAGGTGTGCGCGCGC